GAGCTCTCTGGAGTGGCCTATCTCCTCACCCCAAAGCTGGGGTAACAGGTACATGCAGCCATGCCCAGCTTTTTACATGGTGCTGGAGATTTGAACTCAGGTCCCCATGCTTGCACAGTAAGTACTCTTACCTACTGAGCCATCTCCCTTGCCCTGAAATGCATTAAATGATCGCTGTACTGTATTTATAGGCAGTGCTCCTGTCTTGATATAAATTTAACATTTAGTGTTCTTTGATCTCATTTTTATAAGCATGTGTTATAGTTTGGATCTGAACTAACTCTCAAAGACCACATGTTAAAGATCTGGTTGCCAGTCTTTGGTGCTATTGGGAGGTGGGGAGCCTTTAAGAGGCAGAGCCTAGTGGAAGGAAGGTGGGTCATTAAGGATGTGCTCTGGAGGGGATACTTTCTCTTCGTCTCTTTGCCCTTTCCTCTCTCTTTTTGCTTCTGACCTCCAAGAAGTGAGTAGCATTTCTCCACCATATGCTATGTGGTGTTCTGGATGTTAAGCCTCACAAGGCTAAAACCCAGTGCCATCTGAGAATGGACTGAAACCATGAGGGAAAATAAACCTTTTCTCTTTCAGGTTGATTCTTCTCGGGGACTTTGTCACAGCATCAGAAAGCTGACTAATACAGAGAGAGAGAGAGAGAGAGAGAGAGAGAGAGAGAGAGAGAGAGAGTTTATGTTTCAGAAAACAACATGCACACTGAAACACCAAAATTAGCTACTACTCTGAAAGAACCGAAGTTTACATTTTGGGTTACATCCTTTCAGAGTTTTTAGCTGTATACTTCCTCCCTTTCCCACATTACTGACATTCCTCATGATGACTGAGGTGGAAAGGCAGACAAGGCATTCCAGTGGCACGCACGCACAGAAATTTAGGTCAGCATATCCCTAAACTTGGCTACAGTAGCTCTCAGCTGCTCCTGCGAGTAGTCTCTCCCCCATATCACTCTTGCTCTGTTGGGGTGGAGTCTTGGGGATGCCCCATCCTTTTTGTTCCTCCAGCCTGTGTTCTGGACAAGGACAACGTATTTGGCCCCTGCAGGAGGGCTTTTTACTTTTTCCTTAGCTTTCCTCTTTCATCATCCCTGAGGGAAATATATTTGAGAACACCAGGAACTCTCCAAAATGGCAGCAATAAGTGGGTTGTAAGGTGAAGCAAATGTCACTCTCCTCTGATGACCTCATTTCCATTCATTAATTGACTGTGACACATTAGAGTAAACACCAGCCAATTCCAGTGTCCCAGAAAATTGCTTCTCCTGGGAAACTTGCTTTTCAACGTACTAGGGGTAGACAGAGATTTTTCACATTTCCAAGAACAAAAAAATACTAACATCAGCTTTAGCTACCATCTAATTAGCGACTGCAATTCTCTTAATGGTATGTTGCCTCAGCCTTCATTTTGAATACCCACTGGACTTTCTTATACCAGAAGCAGAGCTCAATCAAGCTTGCTGCCAGTTTCCAGTTCTCTTCACCCAAGTTCTTCAATGTAGTTGACCCAGATAGCCACCTGATGTAAGTACTCTATGGTGATCACCTCCCTAAGGGACAGCTAATGTAGTCTCTGTAATTGACCCCAATGATCCTCACATCCCACCTGGGCCATGCAGGTAGGCCATACTGACTACCTCTCAGTCACCATGTGGCATCCCTGAACTATGCCTGCCTGCTTTAAACCTACCCACTCAAACAAACTCCCCTTGAAAAAGCTGCTTGGATAACACTCTGGACCCAACAGATGCATAACCCTCAAGTCCTTCTCTTTCTCCATGTGTTTCTCTGACTTTGTATGTATATTGTCTGAGTGTGTCAAGTACCCCCTAGGACGTGGATGTAATAAAATATTTCCATTTTGTGTGGCTTCTAACCTTTGGAGGAATGCTCTCCATCTTAACAATCCTAAATTAAATGGTGTGGCAAGAACTATGCATTTTATATCTACTACTGTCTTTCCACATTTAACCACTTAGGAGGAGGCCATGGCTGAGTTGGCAGGAACTTGATCTAGAACCAAGGGCTCTGGACTCAAGTTCTGGGTCTGCTACTTACAAGCTATATACCTATGGACAAGTTTCATGAACTCTAATGCATTATATCCAAGTCTGTGGGTGGGAATAAGTAATAAAACTTACTTAGAAGGCTAAGAACAGTCCTTAGGACTCAGAGAAAATGAAAATAGTTTTAATAATTATTGCTATGATTTTTCCCATTTTAAAGATGACAAAACTGAGGCTTAACAGCTACGTAATTTGCCCTAAATCACAGAGATAACCCAGATCCTCTGATTTTAGAGGCCAAGGGACTTGCACTCTGTCACTAGTAGTCACCAGTAGATCAAGAAGTAATATGTCCCTAATACCTAAATTATAAGCTGTGTCCTCATACCAGACAACAAAGGTACCAGAAGCAGGGGCTGTTATATGGAATTTCTACAAACTATAAATGTACGTGAGATGTTTTTTCATGGAGAAGGGAATTATAGAATCAGGGCCGTGCCTTGTATAAAATGCCTGACACAAAGTCCGTATACAGTCTTGCAGACAATAAAACAATCTTTCCTTTGTCCTTTCAAACCATTGAACCAGATCACTGGATGGCAGGTGCATGTTCTGGAAAGGAAAAATCATTAGGACAAAGTACCAAACACCTAGGTCTACTTGGTATAGTGAAACTTCTCTCTCTCACTGTGGGACTCTTTGACTGTGGGATTGCACTGGTTGTTTCCAGCCCATAGCCTGACCCTGCATCTATAGGGAAGACAGTCCAGGGCCCTTCATCTCAGACACCTCTATGCAGCCCTGAGCCCCAATATAATATTTCACTTGCTCTGGCTGACACCTGCCATTGCTGACATGTTTTCTGGATATCCCCTATTTGTTCACAAAAGCAGAAAGAATTACGAGCTGGGGAAAACATTAAAATCTGAAAGTGACTGGATTTTAATCAATCCAGACTTTGCTTACCCTGGGACCTTGTATTTGACTAGGTGCATTAATTTCCTATTTACAAACTTTAAATTTTATTTCAAAAGTGCTTTGTTTTCATAAGAAAATGTATCCTGATTTCCAGCATTATCAAGTTTTTAGATAACTAAATTAGTGCACCATGACAGCATATTGTTTTAATTATTCAGTGCCTCCTCCCTATAGGATCATATTTCTCACCCCACTGATGTCAGATTAGCATGTGGCCTTTGACCAATGAAACATGAATACAAGTGACACTCCAGAGCACAAGCTGCAAAGTCATCCTATGGTTCCACCATCACGACGCCCTTTGGTGCCAACAAAACAGTGACTTGAAAGGGGCTGCTCCATCAGCTAGATCCTGGAACAAAGAAGATGTGGAGTGCTGACCACCACCAACCCACAGCAATCATACAGTGTAAGTGAAAAGGACATTTTTGTTATAGTAAGCCACCAGGGTTTGGGATTTGCGTGTTATTGCAGCAAAATCTATTTGATCCTGGCTACTACTATATCCACTATCACTTATTTAAATCATAATGATTTAAAATAACACATATTTGTAGTCAAACATAGTTTGAAAAACCACTTGCAATGATCACAGTCAATTTTTTTTAGAGGAGCTAGGGTTAGAGCCAACATATCCCTTTATGAATAATACTCTTGTTAGTATTCAAAAGGCAAACTGACCCTGGGTATGTTTTGATACCTCAGGGTACATTCCAGCTCCCAACACAATGTACCTTTCTTCTGAATTCCTTTTCTGTATTCTGGAGAGGACTGCAAGCCAGAGACATTACATTTCTTCTTTTCAGTGTCCCATTCAAAGTTTATGCCAGCCTCATGACCTGCTTCCTCAAATGTACCATGACAAAGACAAAAGCCAAGTTCAACCTCACCACATCACATGTGGGAGAAAGAGTTCAAAGGTAAGGACTCTTGCTATTTTCTCTAAAGTTGATTTTAGATTTTTAAAAATTCTTCAGTTATATAAAGCTATAACCAAATCAATTATCATCTACTTTTTCAGGATGGAAAAAGGAAGACGAATGGAAAACCAGGGGTATTCTTAAACTCAGAATTATATCTGGAAACATGGACTTTAGAAAATAAAATAACATATAAATAAACATGTCTAGTCCGTCCAATTCCTGGCTGGGCTACAAAAAATTTTTGAAGGCTTATTTATTTCCATAAGAAGATACATAAGCCAGGTGTGGTGGCGCATGCCTTTGATCTCAGCACTTGGGAGGCAGAGGCAGGCAGATCTCTGTGAGATCAAGGCCAGCCTGGTCTACATAGTGAGTCCCAGGTCTCCAGGGGCTACAGGGAGACCCTGTCTCAAAAAGACATATATATATATATATGAATATAAATGATAGAGCTGGTAATACAGTATCAGTGGAAAACACTTGGCTCTGGATACAGATATCTCTCTCGCTCTTTCTCTCTCTCTCACACACACATTTACATACATATTAATACATATGATTATGACACATTAAATGTAAATGTGCACACACTTTGAATTTCTTTTTAAAGGACCTCTCTTTTTAAAAAGATTTATTTGTATTATTTCCATAGTATGTGTATATGTGTGTGTCTATGTAGAGGTATATGCATGTGACTGTAGGCACCTGTGGAGTTCAAAAGAGGGCTTTGGATCCCCTGGAGCTGGAGTTATATGTGGTTCTGAACCATCTCCACCTGAGTGCTGGGAACAGAATTTGGGTCCTCAGCCACCGAACTGTCTCTCCAGCCCCAAGGACCACTCCCTTTTTTGTTGTTAGTTTCAGAGTTTAAATTTGCATAGTATTTTCTGACAGTTATGGACCCTGTTTGTGTTTCTTATAAAGTGCCTTGTTTGAAGCTGCCCAGCTGAAATGAGGAATTGCCTGGAATTGACGGGGCTGTGATGCACATCTGCTTGGTTTAGCAGGATGAAGAGAAATGAAAGGCCCATCCTACACAGATGCCCAGCTCCTCTCAGTGGCACAGCACAGACGTCAGAACTCACCAGATATTGGGTAAAAACGGAAACATCCTCTGTGTGGTTGTCAGAGTTCATTTTCAGCAACCTTCCAAGTCTAGGGGAACTTATGACGGTAAAAGTTACAGTTCTGTTTCCTGCCTTGTCATCATTGGTCACAGCTTTCAGGTCATGAGATGAAAGCGGCTTTCTGGAACCTACATAAAGATTAAGACATGCATATAGGTATACACCACAGGAAGTCTGCCAGCTACTGAAACAACTTTTCTAGGCTCTGAAACTCCTTGGAAAGTGCATGGAGATGAATGGGTGGGCTGGATACCTCTAACTCAAAACTGGGCTGCAAGGGACTAGTCATCCCTGGGGTATCTTTTTGCTGGCATGATTTGCTCCTGGACCTCTAAGAAAAATGAGCTTCTCACTGCTCCTCCCTCAGCCCAAGCCTGAATATCTATTTGATCCTAGAGAAAGAAATCAATTGTCCAGGCAAATTTTGTGGCCTCTAGCTTAGCTCAGGATATGCAAAGAAAAAACAGAATGTGGTGGTGTTCAGAACACAAGAGACAGTAGTTCTTAGGAGGGTGTGGGTTGGCTATTGAATAAACATGAGACATCTCCTGGGGACCCCTATATCTGCATACTGTGTGGATACTGTGGGGATCAAAGGTGTACAAACCCCAAAGTCCAGGGTGCTAATGAGATCCTATTGGTAACACAAGGCCAGAAAGGTTTGGAAACCACCAAGGGGTGTATCTCTGATGCTCTATGTTGAAGCACCAGTGTGTCCTTTCTATTCCACTGTGCACTAAGAATTTGGTAAAACACAATAAAAATGTTGTATCAATGTCAAACTGCTATAATAATTTCTAAACACTTCCTCTGGCTTCCTGCTCTTACCAGCTCACATAGTGGGAGGGGTGTAGACCTCACTAGAAGGACCATAGTGTTAGAGTACACATCCCTTTACTATGCAGCAGTTTAAGGGCCACCCTCAAGTTCATGGGACAGAAGCTCTGAAATACAGCTTTCTATCAAACCAGAATTTCCTCTCATCTTTTCTGTTTTAGCTCTTCAAAGAGGCTTCGGCATGAGGTCTTTGCAGAGCGGCCCTCGGAGAGGAATTTTGTCAACTGGTTTTGAGACTGAGTCAACTATCCAATAATAATTAAGCCTCCTAAATTAGACTCCATTTTTGTTTTCCTTAATCTTTGTTGTCTTGGACAGCAAGGGCCACCATGTGTGGTATTTCACCCACAATGGGCATTTGGTAATTCCATGAAGCCAACTCTGGGTCTGGATTATTCCAAAACTGTAGGATCATTCTGAGCCCTGGATCTGGAGACACCACTCAAAATGTCCAATCCTCTGAGATGAGCACAAGGCTCTTGAGGGTACAAGTTTCAGCCTGAGAAACAGAGTGCTGCCCCAAGCTCAGGACCTCCTTCACACAAGTTTGGTTGTTGCCAAAATGCTCTTGTGCTGCTTGGAAATTCCTCCATGCTGCTTTCACTTTGTGCTGTAGCATCTTCTGCCTTCTGGAGCCAGTGGTAAAGACTGAAGGCCACACCAAGGAGGCAGAGGCACATGCATCTGTGCCATAATCTGTTATAAAGTCATAACTGGGGTCCTCCTTCTGTCACCTGTCAAGATGAGGCCTTACCTATTGGATAGATTATGTCTCTGCGTGTATAGTCCCTGACCACCCAACATCTGACTTCTCTATCCTCAGCTTTTCTTTGGAATAGTTCCCTTCTACAGCTTCTCAATTGCTTACTTCTTATGAGGGACCCTATTTTATAATTCACTTCTTCCTTTACTTCCTAGGTTAGCTTTGGAGGTGGGAGGTGAAAAGGACTCTTTAAAGGTATGCTGCTTTTTCATCCCAAAGGATATGAAATCAATATGTTGAGATTTCTAAAATATATGGCAGCACTATTCACAATAGTCAAGTTAGAGAATCAACCCAAGTGCCCATATCAGGTAAATGGATAAAGAAAATGTGGGGCTGGGAGACAGCTTAGTGGGTAAGGGTGCTTGCCACCAGGCATGATGACCTGGGTTTGAGCCTCAGAACCCACATTGTAAAAGGAACTGACTCCTACAAATTATCCTCTCATAGCCACATATACTCTGTGGCACACACACATACACACACACACACACACGCACAAATGAATGTAACTGTAAATGTTTTTGAAAAGAAAATGTGATACATACCCACAATGGAATGCTAAACCCTTGGCACACACTCTGAATCCCTTCTCCTCCTCTCTTTCATTGACATAATTACCTCTATATCATGACCAGAGCCCGAGGCACAGAGTTTGTAAGGATGACCCCATAGTAGGGACTAAAGGACAGGTACAGTGTCTAGTCCCATGGATCGAAAACCTGGTCTTATTTTAGGACTAACTAGGATTTTTTAAATGTGCCTCATCCCTTCCAAAGACTCCCATTTAATTTGTATAGAGTGAGAAGCAGGCAGTGCTGCTTTTAGAACCACTGGCTAGTATGACCCTAATGCATCTTTCTCCATCTGATTGGCAATGTATGTTATTTAGACAAATCATAAAGTGCAGAGTTGCTTTGGGCTTTTTCTTTTTCCCCAACACCTAGGCCTCGCTGAAATTATTTTGTTTCCTACATTTCCACCTCAGTGCTTTTGGGAAATAATAAATTCAAGCTTTTCCTCCCCCTCCCCCCTCCTCCTCCTCCTTCTTCTTTTTTTAAATAGCCTTTGCCATTGAGTAAATCTTTCCCCTTCCCTCAGGGTGTTGGCCAAAGAAGCCCATAGCAACTTCTACATTATCTGGCTCAGATTCTTGGCAAATAGCTACCCAGAGGCTGCAGGGCCCCAAAGTCAGCACCAACGGAAGCCACTGACAGTGCTTGGTGCTGCAGAGAATTTTTAGATTCAAAATTCAACAAATTTTAAGAAAGTAAAAGGAGTTGAGCATGAGGTCAGTTGGTAGAGTATTTGCCTGGCTTACACAAAGCCCTGGGTTCAGTTCCCAGCAAAGCATAAGCTGGGCATGGTGGTACAAGCCTATAATTCTAGCATTCAGGAAGTAGGGACAGGAGAAGTTCAAAATCATTTTAGCTATATAGTGAGCTCAAGGCTAGCCTGGGCTATGTGAGATGCTGTCTCAAAGTAAATAAATACATAATGGAGATGGACTCATACAGCCCAGCTCTCTGAACTCTGTAAGGACTCTAGAGGATAGAAGGAAAACAGTACACAGAAATGATTCCTTCCATGATTCTTTCAACTGCCACTTTCCAGCTCTCCCTTTTCTAAGGAAGAGTCGAGAGGAAAGACAGAAAGGTTGCAGAGACTTCCAGGCTTACTGCTGTGAAATTCTTGCAGAGAATTCTTTTGAGGATTTTAATAGATGATGCTGGAATCATCCTACAGTAAAGATGTTACTTTATACCATGTGAGTGGATTTTCTGAAAAAATGGTAAAACACTTAGCCCTGCCCCCAAACACTTGTTAACCCTCTCACCTGGAAAGATGCTCAGTCCTCTGTTGACCTCTAAGCTAATGATCAGAGCTTGAGCAGTGACGCTAAAGATTTGTCGAGGTGCAAAATTCAAACCGTCAGTAACCTGAAAACTAAAGCCTCCTGACATTGCTCCTTTAAAAGAAGAAAATACACTCTAGTCAATTTGATTATTCTACAAAGGCCAACTACCTTCACCCTTCCTTTCTCATGATCCCTGCTAAACTACACCTAGCGATTTCAGAATGTGTTAACATAGCCATCCAGCTCACTGAATCAAATACAGCTTTATCCATATTTAGGTCTACAACAGACAATATGTATGACTGTGGTCCCATGAGATTGTATCACCCAGAGATAGCACAGCCTGCTTAGTGTATGTAAAGTCACTTGATGTTTGCACAATGATGAAATCACCAAACAACTCATTTCTTGGAGTGTGTCCGTGACTCGAAATGACCCATGACTGTATTGATAAGACACAAAGACACATCAGTGAAAGTCAACATGCAGAGTCTCCACCCATAACATAAAGCACAGAAATTATCTCTGCGAAATTCTTAAAAAATTTAAAACATACTCTTTGCCTGTATTTTATTATTTTGAAATCAACCTATATCAATAAAGTAATGTATGCCTATAACATACACACACATCATTTCTGAAATGTTGGTAATATTTAATACTGAAAAAGGGAAGGGAATAATATTTAGCATCCTGTCACCACTGTAAATCGTTATGCTTTCAATTACAGATCTAGCTCAAGCTAACCATATTCTGCTAAGAGGGAAGAGTGAAGGGAAGGGCAAGGTCTGGCCTTGCTTTCATTAAGTTTCTACAAAGAGAGATCCCACTCCCATGCTTTACCAAGGCTTAGTGATGAAAACAGATTGAGAAAATTAACTTATGTACATTTCTGAAATCAAGATAGACCAGCATCAATCAAGTTCCCTGGGCTGCTTTATCAACCGACTTATAGGTAGCAGGCAAAAATCATTGGGCAGGGAAGCCATATCCCATCGCCTTTTGAAATATCCATCTAGAGGACAAGCATGGACTGGTCAGAGATGTATCCTTGTTGCCCTCAGGGACACGTGGCAAGGAACAAAGGGGGCATGGTCAAACTTCAGAATTATGCAGGAATATTCCCTTAATAACACAACCTAATAAGGAGTAGATTGATGGCTTGACATCTTTCAAATCCGTTATCTAAGTGAAGCCTGAGAGCTCTAATTCTTCCCAAAAATGTTTAAAACGGTTAAAAGTTTTCTCCTCTCATTCGAAGGTCACCATTAAAGAGAGAGGGAGAAGGTGCTAGGTGTGCCTAACTCAACAGGGACCCACAGCCAAATGCTTTGCGTTTGTTTGCTTTCTAGAAATGGCTTTTCAAAGTTGTATTTAATGAAACACAAAATTAAAGAGACAATTCTTTCTTGAATCCAGAAACAAAATGGAGACAGAATCAAAGGAATCATATCAAGAACAAACACAGAATGTTATAGAGCATGGGACCTAGCACTCTAAGTAGGACCAAAGGAGGATAAGGAAGGAGACACAGAAATAGGGGTGACCTGTAGATTTCCTATGGCTTAGGCTCTGATTTTTCTCAAGTGTACTTTCAGGAAGGCAGGTGAAGGAGATCACTTGGCTGCCTATATCTTGGTTGAGTCAATCTACTTAGGTAGTGATCCAAAATGGTGGATTAGATTAGTGGCAGAGCACTCTGCAAATATAAATTGCTAAAAGAGACTAATTAAACCTCAGCCTTTGTTTGGGTCCTATGATGGACAAATGTTCCAAGGGAGAAGCAGCTGGTTTCAGCAACAGACTCATCTGCAGCTGAGCTCCAATCTCTTTGAGAGTCTCAATGTCCATTTAGTAATGAATTAGCATCACATTATCCTGGACTTGGCTTCTTTTTCCTGCTTTTCTAAAAGAAATTGTTTTCTCTACCCATCAAAAGCAAATACTGACCCAGCAGTTGATAAGGCAATCAACCCCGAGACCTAGTTTTTGTTTCGCCCCTCATTGCAGATAGCAACTCCAGTTCTCTAACTGCCCTTCAGCGGAGAAAAACCAGCTTTAGGGTCAGACCAACTGAATTTATAAGCCTCAGTTTCCTCATCTTGAAAATGGGGTTGTGACTCTGTATAGATGAGGACTTGAGGAGGACTTATGTGTGACTGTACTTCCTGCACTGCCTGACAAGTGAAGAGGTTCAGGATGACGCTAAAATCAATCTAGCCCCCAGGTCTCTGCCTCTGGGCCTGGAACCACTGCCTGAGAGCATCCACATTTAAACTGTTCTCCAATTCTCTGGGGACCCTGTGCATTGAGTGTGAAATCAGGACACACTGCTGCCCTTGGATTTAGAAGACTTCTTTATCCTCTTTATTATATTTTCAAAGAGGATAGTTTAAAAATAACTGAGGAAAAAAAGATAACATTTGAGTGCTTAGATCACACTCTCCTGGCTCATGCTCCCTCCTGCCCCTTCTGCCAGCTGCTGCCCCTCTGGTCCGCTGACAAGGGCAGGCTACAAACAAAGCTGGGCTACGCTGGCAAAGTGCCTCAGGCACCACTTCAGCAGTTTTCTAGCAGCTATCTGGTGTACTGATTCATTGATGAATAGCAGGAAGAGAAAGAACCTTCCAACTAACATCAGGATTGCACAGAACTACAGTTACATTCATTCATTCATATGTGTATGCCTTAAACAAAAATCTGCTTTGTTCACTATGGTATCCTCAGCATCCAGAATGCTATTATCACCTGGTATATAAGAGGTGCTCAATGTTATTTCATTAGTTCAACAAAGTTTTATTTATTAAGCACTTACAGTGTTCCAGTTACTGTTCTATGGACTGAGGATACAAGAGGCTCTGCCCTCAGATTACTTGTACTGTCATGGGGAAGGCAGACAGAGGTAAAATTCAATCTACACTAGTCACATAGCCTGGGGAGGAAGGGCAGAGTGAGAGAGAGATGTTATGCCAGTGCATGTGAGGAACAGCCTCTCAGAGGTCACTGACCTTATATGCCCATCTGAGTAAACCTTTGTGGGGAGGTGGAAGCACCCTCTAATGCTTGTTCTTATTAGCTTTCGACAACATGTTGCTTTAAAAACAAAAATTACCAAGCTTGGAAAGTTTCAACATGGTCTGTGGTTTTCAGTCAGCAACTCTTAGGTATGACAATCACATCACTTGCTGCTTAGAACACATTTAACTCAATGCTGCTTTGCTCTGTGACTTACCAGAATGCACAAACACAAGGTGGCCCTCGTTGATTTGCGCCTGAGTGAAGTCCTGAATTCTTCTTCCAGGAAAAGACTTAAGAGCTAGATGCCCGTTGCTGGGGGGTGTGATCCGGTAGACCAAGTCCTGTGGGGAAGAGTCCCTGTCTTCTGCACAGAGGTCATGTCTGGTAATCTCAGTAATAGAATTCACCCACACCTGAAAAAAGAAGCCCATAGAGCTCTTCAGTCCCGATACATTAGTGAACAGGATAACCAGGATACCTAGACCCATGTTCCAAGGTGAGAAAATGAAAGCAATTCATCAGGGTTTTGGTTTTTGTTTGTTTGATTTTTTTGAGATAGGGTCTCCCTGTAGCTCTGGCTGGCCTGGAACTCACTATATAGGCCAGCTTGGCCTCAATCTCACAGAGATTTGCCCGTGTCTGCCTCCTAAGTGCTGGGATTAAAGACATGAGCCACCATGCCTGGCTTCATCAGGGTTTTTAAAGCATGAAGTTTCTTAATCCTAAGTAGAAATAGAATGGAAAGCCAGATGAAATGCAAGTCATTTAATAATTAAGGTTTATAATGTTTCAATAAAAAGTATTGCATATTTTTTCTCAAAATTACTTAACAGCGTATATACACTGATATAAAGTATATAAACATAGAGCTAATGGTTATGAATCAACCTTTGTGGGTTAAACACACACTAAATACCCCACATGGAATCTCAGATAGCATAGCATATACTTTGTTAGGTTTCTATTCATTGCTTTCAGACACAAATGATGTCACCAGCTTTAAACAGTTGGGGAAGAAACACACACATTGCACATTTTCTATTCCTTTTATTCTGCCTTTCTTACATAAAAACAAATGTCTGGTTTCTTCTTGCATTGGTTGCTGTACTGATGGTTCACATCTATAAGTGTCTGAGAACATGGCTGCTTTCATTTTACTATTAGAATCTACTTACATAGCCTAAACATCTTTGTGTATGTGCAGGTATGTATGTATGTACAGGTATGTGTGCATGCCGTATGCATGCAGGTACACGTCTACATATGCTTGTTGAGGTCAGAGGTCAACCTCAGGTGTCCTTCCTCAGGAGCCATGTACCTTGCTTTTGTTTGTTTATTGTTGTTGCTGTTTTTTTAGACAAAATCTCTCTTTGGAACATGAAGCTCACAGATTAGGAAAGGCTGACTGGCCAGCCAGCCCCAGGGATCTGCTTATCCCTGCATCTCCAGCACTAGGATTACAAATTGTGTCCGGAAGAGCCTGTTTCCTCTGAGGGGCGGGGCCTACTGAGGAGTGCTAGCCACAAGAGGAGGGGCTTTCTGAGCCATCTTGGGAGGGGAGCAGAGCCCAGCCAGGCGCATGAGAACTAGTGGCCTGGCATTTACCCACCTGGGGCGAGACTGCGGTGCAGGAGGCATGGGTGAAAGCTAGCAGTGACTATGGGTGGGCCGCAGGAGTGATCTGGAGTGGCAGGCTTGCCGCAGTAGCGGGAGCAATCTGGAGTGGTAGGCTCTGAGCCGCTGCGCAGAGCTGGGCCCTGAGTGCTTGTCTCTTTGTAGGTCACTCCCCCAAGCACATAAACCATTATAAATTCATACAAAAATATGTTACATGGTTTGTCTGATAGCGCAAGAGACCCCGAGAGAACCCGGGCAACACAAGTGTACACACTACTCCTGGCTTACTTTTTTATGTGGGTTTTGGGGGATCAAACTCTGGTTCTCCTACTTGCATGACTTTACCTAAACATCTTAGAAGTGATCAATTAACCAATTTTATTGAGCATCTACTATGTTCCAGGAGATATTTTGGGTGCTTGCAATAATATGTCAGTAAATAAAACAAAGGAACCATGTTCTCATGTAGCCTACACTTCAGCAGAGAGGACAAAAGGACACAAGGAAGAGGCAATAGGTATAGTAAGGAAATAAATAATAGTGAGTTAAAGGTCACTACTCTGTGAAAAATACAAGATAAGGGGATTCTGGGATTTAAACGTTAAAATAGGAGGCTTGTGCCAGGTGTGTTGGCTCGTGCCTTTAATCCCAGCACTTGGGAGGCAGAGGCAGGTGGATTGTTGTGAGTTCAAGGCCAGCCTGGTCTACATAGTGAGTTTCGAGCCAGCTGGGGCTACAGGAAGACCCTGTCTCAAAAAGAACAACAACCACCACAAAATAGGTTTGTTGGAGGAGGGCTGGGATGAGGGGAAGAGAATTTGCATATGTGAATAATCAGGAAAGGAGGGCAAGACAGTGGAAATGGCCCTAAGATGGGAGTGACCTCAATCACAGGAGAGGCTAAGAGGTCATCTGGCAGGAAAAAAGTAAGAAAGATGAAGGCAAAAAGATGACTCAAAACATAATGGCTGGTCAAGCCATGCAGGGGCGTGGGCACTCAGAAGCTGTTTGTCCATGAGGGCAGTGGGAGAGTACAAATAGAGTCTTGACCTAGTGTACGAGAATGCCTGTCCTTCTGGCTTCTGTGTCAAGAACAGTCTGTATATAGGACCAAGGTAGAAGCAGGGAGACCACTCAAAGGGTGACTACAAGAAGCCCAGACAGGAATAAAAGACGGGAGGCTTGAGGATGCATCGGGAAGGAGGAGTAGTCCAGTTCTGGGTGCTTGTCAAAGGTAAAGCCGAGAGTGAGAAATTAGACAAGAGAGGTGAGGCAGAAGGAGAGGTGGTAGGACTGACACCACAGCTGGGGATTTGCCAATTAGAAGACCTTCTCCTCTGCTGAAAGGAGGAAGGCTCCACAGAGAGAGGACTGGGGAGTGAGATCTGGAGCTCAGTTTGGAAGATATCAAGTTCAAAATTCTGATTTGGACACTGGATCACATCTGATAGAATCAAGATGTTCTGAGATCTAGAATCAGGCTGTCGTAAGTTTTCATTAACATTAGAAACAAGTGGCTTTATCACTAGCTCTGTTTTCACCCTTACCTGCATTTTTTCTTCCTAGTTGCCCTCTGCAATGCTGTGTGCACTTTCCCAAGTTTCTGCTTCATCTTTGCCTTAGCACCTTCTATGCTTGTTATCAGCATGGCTAAAACTTCACTCCTAAGCCACTGAACAGATATGCTGCCCAGGTCCAAGGAACCATTTTCCTCAGTAAAACACGCAGTTTTGCAGTAACAGTCCATGCCTTCTCCCCATCTAACTGTTATTTAGACAGAATTAGAGACAAGTGCTTGGAAGGCACATAAGATTCCTATGTTTTCATACCAAGCACCATGGCAAGAAGTGAAAAATCCATTCTGATTGCTACTAATGCTCTGTTAGTGATGACACAGAAAACCTCATGTGTGAATCATCCCCTTAGTCTGTGAAAGTTAGCAGCTGTGATCATAAAGTACATTAAAAAATGCCCCCACACTCCTGTCGACAAAAGAAACAGCTCTCACCTCAAAGGAATAAAAGAGATGGTTTATACTACAGTCATTGGAGTGACCATGGCCCAGGAAGCAGATTTAGGTCTCCCCAAATACCATATTCCAGTGAGGTAGCAATTTTATGAGCTTTTTTATAGTAACAGAACAAGAAAGTCATAAATGAACACACTTTTCAAATACATTGGTGGGCACATTTAGTAGGCAGGTTAGAGTAAAGTGGAAAGAATTCTGCTATAGGCCCCAGATGGTATCTAGCTGACATTCTTAGATTTTTGGTTGGTGGAAGCTAAGACTGTGTTAAGTTTACATTTCAAAGGTTTTTTTTTTTCTTTTCTTTTCTTTTTTTTTTCCCCCCTTAATCTGTTAGCCACAAGATGTTTTAGCAGACACAGAACTGTGTAAAGAATGGCAGTGTGGGGGCTCAGCACAGCCCAAGGTAAACTGTAAACAGGTCAGGACCTGCAACATTCCAAACCTTCCAAAATCCTTGAAGTGCAAATCAGTTGACAAGACTCACAGAAAGTTCAGTTATTTTTCTGGGAACTTTTGATTACACTCCACATGGGCCTGATCACACTCATGCACACACACACACACACACACACACACACACACACACACACACACACAGAGGCACACACAGGCATACACACTGGAGCTTACACATTCAGATATATGTTTAATTCTTCAAGATGACTAATCTGAAGAATAACTTATATTAATAACAACAGCATTGCTCAAAATGCTTGTGTTCAGCTATTTTCCAGTTGTTCAGAAATGCTAGATTTTGTTTTCATCCAATGATAGCCTAGGTTCAACTCACTGGTACTAGCAGTGCATCCTTGACCACATTTTAAAATTTCTTAATCTGTAACTAAGAATGAAGGAGTCATTATGCATACTGAGTGATGCAACTTATGTACGTAGTACAACTTCACCTGGCATACTGTAAGCCTTCATTAAATATTAGCGTTATGTTACAGATCTTCTTCCTGAGACTTAACAAGGAAGATAGACCATCATTGTTGTGTTGTGGTACTAGGGGTCAAACCCAGAGCCTCTTGTGTGCTAAACAAGTGCTCTGTCACCATAGCTACACCCCCCAGCCCAAACAGGCTTTAAAATATTTTAGATTCATTTTATTTTCATTTATGTGTCTGTGTCTCTGCACGTATGTGGGTGCCTTCAGGGGACAGAATAGGATGTTGGATCCCATGGAGCTGGAGTTACATGCAGTTGTGAGCTGCCCAACATGGGTTCTTGGGAACCGAACTCCAGTCTTATGCAAGAGCAGCAAGTACTCTTAAACCACTGAACCAGATCTACCAGATGTGGTACTGAAAGTCATTTCAGTTGTGGTGATAAGCGCACCAAGGCTATTCCTTAACACATACTGCAGACTGTTTAATGCCACAGCACCCACACTGGGCAAATAGTTTAGCTGTTTAATGACTGCAGTCAGTGATCCCCAGTCTCAACATTTGAAACACGTCCACTGAAGATTTTCTGCACCAAGCTCTAAGGGTTATCAATTTTTTATGTCCACTGGAAATACAAAATTAACTGTGCATTCAAATTATGAGATGCTAGCCTTCATTTGACCTGTTGAAAGGCCACAATTTCTAGAAAATATACAAGTTGGTCTGTTTAAGAAAACATCCCTCCCACTCATTCTGGTTTTTCCTATTTTCCATTTTTAAATCATTCCATATGGCTTATTTTATTTCTTTAGGAAGTCAGATTGGTTTGGAGATACACTGCCATTTCTCTCCCTGTAACTTGCAGGCACTCATTTTTTCC